CCCCAAAACCCCAAAACCCCAAAACCCCAAAACCCCTTCCTTTAGAAGTTTTATTGAATTTTATTAATCTAACTATACAGAAAATGAACACTAACTTTAACAAGAGAATCAAGCACCAGATGTGCATAAGAAGGACAGATCTCACTCTGAGGCCTAATTCAAAGAGGAAGAACAAGTCCCCACTAGAGAAGATATATAGCAACAATACTTGTAAGTGGGTTTCTTGCTATCACCATTTCTCTTTTTGGCTAATCTCATGGTGGTTTACTCTCCATAGGACTGAAGATACAGTCCAGTAAAAGGTAATGTTCACATATATTTATAATGAACCTTGCAGCTGCTTTATCCCAGTTTAAATCGTAGAGGAAAATTTTGATCCTCAAAATTTGCTTGAAATGAATTATAATGATCATATTTAAGTACAAGCGATAAGGGTCCTAAAGACTTGAGGTAATGGATAAGGCTTAACTGACTCACTTTGCTAAATCTCACTAATGCTAGCACAACCTCAGTCGTGGTTTACTCTACAACATATCCAGATGTCTGAATGAAATGGCTATTGTTGATATAGATTCATATCTCCAACCTCTCATGCTAATATAAGAACTGTATTGAACAAGGTAAGACAAAACTTGATATGAGCTTTTACTGCATGAGCCACAGACCTGCATGTCTTTACTAGGTTGATGCACATTTCCAGGCATAATCTATGCTAGATATCCTCATTTTTCATAATTATAGGTTTTAATTACAGTTGTTGGTAAAAATCCCTCACAAATTTTGCAAGAGATGTTATAAACATGGTTTATCCTGAATTTTACCCTAAAATATAGCTGAAAGAGAAACATTTTGGAAAGAAGAAGAAGTATTTTAAGTCAAGAGGAAGGCCTCTAGTTGAGTTTGGCAAGAGGAAACAACCCATTTTCCACACTTTCCATCATAATCCAGAAAAGAGGGTTGTCTCTAACCCAAATAGTGCAAAGAGTAAGACAAAAGCATAGATTCATAATGTAGCTGATTTCTTATCTATTTTCTGCTGTGAATTCTGATCCTTCAGCAATATTTTTGTGACAGCTGAAATTACCTTCAGAAAGTGGCTTGATATCTATTGTTGTGTGACAAATTTAGAAAATTAAGCAGATCTGCGGCAAACCTAAAACCTGAGAATCTGCTTCAGTCTATTTCTAGCAAACCTGGGTGTAATCATATCTACACTTACTGGTAGCTTGCTCTCTCTATTTTAAGATCTTATGAGGTTAATATCTCAACTGAATTTAGAACATAAAAATCTTTCAGGGAGGAAGTTGAAAAATGTGAAATCCATCAAGGCTTCAAAGCATCTACATCCAGAAATTATTGTAAAGGATCCCTCCTTTTTAGATAGTTCCAGAGGAGTATGAGTCTTCTTCATTACTCTATAGCGAAATCACAATAATCCTGCTACCAACAAAGGTCAAAATGCCAAATATATGCAATCAAGTATGAGTATACCTAATGCTGTAGCTAGCTCTTCTAGGAGTAAGGAGAGAGTCTCTAGTATTAATCCATTCGCGAATTACCAGTCATTCTTGGACCAGAAGACCTTCGATAGCCGATATGATTCGTAAGCCTAGTTTTTTATGTATTTGGTAATAGGAACACGAAGAAGTATTCTGTCTCGACTAATAGCACCCTGAATGTCTATAATATGCTCCATAGCAGGTATTAAGAGTTTAATCATCATATAGGATATCACAGATTTCAGACAAACTAAATGCACAAGATGAATCTTCAGTCGAGGAGAGGTCACAAAGAGTCAGTAGCGTCTTAAGAGAGTCATCGCCGACTGGATTTGTAGCAAAGAAACCCAGGAATACAAGACTAGAGTCATTCCAGTTGGATATAATTAATGAAATTCCTAAACAAGTGAAATCTAAGTATTTTGAGGTATCTTAATTCTTTAGAGTAATTGTTCCTTCAAAGGCAATAAAGAAGAGTAAGATCAAGAGCCCTAAGAGAATGACGAGTGGGCCGAGTGAATTAATTCCTTACTCCCGCATCGCTCCCAAGTTTACTAACAGGACTTTGAGCCCTCACCCATCCTCTGTAGAGAAGAAGTTTACTATAAAGTCTTAGGGCAATTTCGAAAGTTTCTCAATTTTGTATAAAAAGTTAGGGGTTTTGGGGTTTTGGGGTTTTGGGG